CTCCCATTCAATCCATAACACCATTTAAGGGGAAGAACATTCTAGAACCAGTCCAGATGAAGGCCAAAGCAGTGATGGAAAGCATTTGAGAAAGGCATTTTTTAGGTCACAAACCTGAAAAATGTTGACTTGGCAAATGCTGTGTGGTGTATGTTTTTACAACAATAAAATCATAAAAGAAAGACGGGAGACAGGGCGGCAGGCTTTCCGGCCCATGGAGCCAGAGAGCTGAGTACCTTTGGGCAGGAGGCTTGCTGGCGGAGTGGGGTGTGCCTATCAGCAGAGCTAAAAGAGCTTTGGACCACTTGCCCGACCAGAGCAGAGGCCAAGGGCCAGAGAGGCCCGTCTGCGGGCACAGTGTGGGGAGGCCATCTGAAGATCTCCGTCCTGAGCGCGTTCCTGAGCCTGGATGGTAGCCTGATAAACCCCATAATCGTGATATTGCCCATGAGTTCTGTGTGGTCACTGCAATGAACTGAACCCAGCAGAGGTAGTGAGTGCCGTGGGAGGGACGGTTGGCGTCAGAGTTGGTAAAAAGGTTGGAGGGTGGTGGCAGGTCTGGCCTCAGGGGAACCAGCCTTGGGCTGCTGATGGTGGTTTGGCCCCATATCCTTTTTGCACCTGGCAATCTACTTCGGAAAAACAACCATGGAAAACCCTTGGAGGGCAGTTCCACCCCAACACAGACATGGGGTGCCATGAGTCGGAATCAGCTTGCGGCCCCTGGTTTGCTCACGTCCAAAGTGATGAAGGGACGACCCTTTAAAAGAAGGGCCCCCCAGCCACCCTGAGCATGGGTCCTGACCCCAGCTCCTCACCACAGTTTCTGGAGTCGGCAGGCGGGGTGGCCCAGCCCCTCACACAGCAGCCGGATGCCACCGTCTCCCAGGTCATTGAAACTCAGGTCCAGCTCCCGAAGGTGGTGGTTGGCCTGGAGCGCGGCGGAGAGGCGCTCACAGGCTGCAGAGCCCAGCCGGCAGATGCCCAACCTGGAAAACAGGACCCCAGCCCGAGTGTGTTTCCTGCCCATGCATTCATCCCCTGGCAGGGTTCACACGCCAGTCTGTGCTGAGCACTGCTGAGAGACGGAGC